TTTTTTGGTACCAGGGATCGAACTCAGGACCTTGTGCTTGTGAGGCTGGCGCCGGAACCACTGAGCTAAATCCCCGGCCCAAATAAATCACTTTCTGAACACACACTCTCTCAGCACTTTTTATTTTCACAGCTTTTGTATTGGCTTAATGGCAGCATGGAGAGACTGTAACACATTTACACAGAGGACTTTACCAATACCCCAGAAGGTTTTTCTTTTTCTTTTCAATTTTCAAACAATGATTTCTAAAAAAAGAATGAATTTTTTTACTAATGAATTTTCTCAAACTGAACATAGCCGTGTAACCAGCCCCAGAAATTGTTAACATCCCAGAAGCCCTCTCTGTCCCCCTTTTCATAATTCCCTCCTAACAATAACCACTATCCTGCTTTCTCATGGCATAGATTAGTTTTGCCTACTTTTAGTATAACTGCTGTTTCATTTATTAAAGAATTTAGTTAGGTCTGCCCGTACTGAAAACCGTAGTGTTAGCATTTAGGGTCATTATTCTGAACACAGTGCTTTGGATAATGTCCCAACAACATGGTGTTTTTCATGTTTTAGTGACCAAGAGAGGTACTCAGAGGAGCTAGTGAATATCTTCAGGTCAGCAGTGTCAGCAGGCATCATCGGCTGCGTGTATGGGGGAGTACCAGCTTTCATTCATGCTAAACAGCGCTACATTGAGCAGAGCCAAGCAGAGACCTATCATAACCAATTTGATGCTGTAGTAAGTACTGGTGGTCTGAGAGTGTTACATGGGTGCACACTGTCTTTACAGTTACGTGTAAGTACTCAGGTTGTGATTTGAGAGGATTGTCAAAGTCTGTTTAATAACAGCCGAAGTGCTAATGCTAACGTGCCTAAGCATATCTCGTCAGACACTTAGCTTCAAAACAGGCATGTGTGGATTTACCACTATGGCTCATGAACAAGAAATTAACACTGGCATGTACTATTATCTACAGACTTGTGTAAATTTACTAGTTCTTCCACTTACCTCATTTATTTTAAACTAGATTTAAAATTTTTGTTTCTGGTCTAGGATCTAATGGTAAATTACATGTTGAATTTGTTTCTCAGGCCTCTTTAGTCTGGAACACTTTCTCTGTCTTTGTCTTTTCTGAGCTTGACAGTTTTGATTTATGCTTTGGTTTTGACTTATTACAAAAATTCTGTTTTTTGGAAGATATATCCTAGAGCTGATACTTTATCCTTCTTAGTACATTACATCAGGAGCACATACTATATATGTCATTTTACTTTTGTCACTTAGCTAAGAGGACATCTGCCAGGCATATCCTCTATAAAATTATTATTTTTTCCCTTTATAATGGTAAGTATTTTATGGATTCTTATCAGATCTTTTGAAATTGTGTAAGTATCCTGTTTTTCATCAATTTTTTTTTTTGATACTGGGGATCGAACTTGGGTCCTTGCACTTGCAAGGCAGGTGGCAGAACCACTGAGCTAAATCCCTGGCCCTTTTTCATCACATTTTAACCCCCGAGTTTCAGCATGAAATTAAGATTCTTGCTAGAAATAGTTACTACTGAGGTAGTTGCCAAATGGCCATTATCTAATTCTATCATCTTTTCTCCATTTCTTGGTTAGTATTCACCTCTAAGAAAGTGTTTTTTCCTATACCCCTATAATTTATCTGTGTATCCATCTATCTACAGTCATGCATCAGCAGTAGAGACCATTCTGAGGCCTACATTGTTAGACAGCTTTGTCATTGTGTGACCATCACAGAATATACTTCCATAAGATGAACCACTATAAGGTCACAGGGCAATATAGCCTTATGGCCACACATTGTGTCTGTGGTCTTTTTTTGGTGGTGGTGAGGGATACTGAGCTGCATCTCCAGCCCCCTTTTGTATTTTTTATTTTGAGACAATGTCTTGCTGAGTTACTAGGTTGTGCCCAGGTTGGGCTGGAATTTATGATCCTCCTGCCTCAGCCTCTCACAGTGCTGTACCACCATGTCTAGTTTGATCTTTGAAGCATTCCTATGTGGTACATAACTGTGTTTATAATTTATTTATATTAGTATGTACTTAGGGCTTCTTGTTTCATTCCATAGGCCTATAATCCATTGTCATTTATTTTGATGCTCAAATTGGCCTGGATTTGGACCCAGGAGAGCCATTCTATCTGGCTCCTGTGCCCTTGAGCCGTGTCTTCTTCATTGTCTGAGCATGCCTTTACTTTTGAGCACAGTACAATGTTCCTGGCCTGTCTTTTACTCTTCATACTCCAGTTCTAGAATTAGCCATTTCTCCAAAGAACTCACATTTCTTTCAGTGGAGACTGGTATTTAGAAACCAAGATCTTATGCACATTTCTACCAGGATATTATTGTTTCTAGACCCTAGGTAGACAGAGTTAGGAAGAGAGGGAGAGGGAGAGAGAGAGAGAGAGAGAGAGAGAGTGTGTGTGTGTGTGTACTCATATACACATTCATACACATCTGTATTGGTGTCTACTTATTAAAAGCCATGAGTTCACACAGATACCTTTCAGGGAAGTTTTGATTTGCCCAAGATCATGTAATATGTAAGATACACACAGGGTTTCTCTCATAGTCTTTACAAATCCAGATTTTCCCCATGATATTGTACCAGATTGCTCTGTGACGGCTAGTAAAGATGGGCAGTGGAAACACTACATCCCTTCCAATTCTAACTTTATTGCTTACTCTCTGGGTCATGTTGGTGATGAACTTTCTCCTAAGCTTTAGTGAAAACTGTAAGACCTTCCTGAAAACAATGTTGTAAGGAATCAATGAGGCACTATCTTCAAACACTTTAAACAGAAAAGATGGGCAGTATTTCTTTTTTCTTTCTCTGTCCTGCACATCTGTGTTACTTTAATCTTTACCCTTTAATTTAATATTTACTCAACAGATATTCTTTTTACCAGTATATCTTGAATGTTAAGACCATGTGTAATACTGGTTTCATAATCAGACACAGTGATTGCCACATAGATTCTCTTTAGATAGCGGATGGATTACTTGGTTGACAGTGGCAGTTCTTAGTTCCTTTACTATCTCCTGATAAAGTGGGATGTGCATGAGACTTTTGCTTAAGCCTCAGTACTAAAAGTAACATTTCTAGAGATTTTCTGTTGTTCCTTTCTAATTTATAGCAGACATTCCTGCATGCACTTTTGGAATAAAGGGCATGTCAGGGTGTCCTGGAAGCTCATAGCATTTTATTCACTTTAGCAAAGTGTGCATCGTGCTGCCACACGAGGCTTCCTTCGGTACGGCTGGCGCTGGAGCTGGAGAACTGCAGCATTTGTGACTGTATTCAAGTAAGTTCTTTCTAAATTGTGAAAGATGGTCTCGATTCTCTTTCATGACTGCATCTTTTGAGGAACTGGAGTTTTTTTGTTTTATGGTGATATTGGGGATTGAACCCAGGGGTTTAATACTGAGCTGTATCCCTGTCCCTTTTTTATTTTTTTTGAATAATTATTTTTTTATTTTTTATTTTTTCTGTCACTAAGTTGTACAAGCTGGACTTGAACTTGCAGTCCTCCTGCCTCAGCCTCCCAGAGTTCTGGGATTACAGGCATATACTACCACACCCATTTGAACAAGTAGAATTATAAAACCTGAATACTCACAGGAAAATGATTCATAATGTCTTTTTTTTCTTTCTTTCTTTTCTTTGTTTTTTGAGACAAGCTCTCACTATGTAGTTTAGGCTGATCTTGAGCTCACTTTGTAGCCCAGGCTGGCCTCCAACTCACTGTAATCCTGCCTTGGCCTCCTGAGTGCTGGAATTACAGGTGTGCACCTCCACACCTGGCCATAATGCCCTTTTCTCAGAAACTTTTGTCTGTCTGTGTAAGAGGTTGATCCAGTTGTAGTTTTACATACAGGATAGAGATCTACCAGTTAGGATCAGCACAGATACAAGAGTGAGTTCTAACTAAAAGAAACTCTGCAGAACCTTTCTCTGTGTTTCTAAGGGAATGCTTGATTGTTCTTTGGTTCCTCTTTAGCAGAAAGTCTACCTCGGAACCCCTCAGGCAATCTGGAACACCTGGAAGGGGCCTAGAGTAGGACAGTGATTGCCCCTCAGGCTCTTCTAAACTTATCATTGTAGGAAAACAGCAGTCAGGAAGGGAAGTGGAATGTGTTTTTAATTGCGTATTTTCCTTTTCCTTTCCAATTCGCAGCTCAGTGAACACTGGACTAACTGTGTACCGAAATAAAAATGCCCTGAGCCATTTTGTTGTGGCAGGAGGTAAGATATTTTTGTTCATGTTTACAATTTTAAATGTCAAATACGGTTTAGAAAATACTTAAGGACATATAAATAAGGATTGCTGAATTCTTTGCTTGGCTTCCCATTACATCTCATTCAGCATTCATACAAAATATGTTCATGGTCACCATTGTTTTTGGCCCATGTGCACTTAGTGAATCATTCAGACAAGATCCTTGCTTTCATTGAATTTTAAAGTCTAGTGAAAATGGGAAAAAACAGGTTCATATGATAGAATATAACAAATACATGGGACAAGAGACCTAAGGTTGACAGATTGGCCCCAGATTGTCTTTCTCAGGAAGTGACATCTAAACTGATGTCTAAAGAGTGGGAAGGAGCATGCATTTTCCAAAGAGTGGCTAAGTAGAGGGAGCGTTAGGGCCAAGTCCTAAGGCAAGAAATTTCTTCAAAAGCAGGTTAAGCTGGGTATGGGGGTGCCTGCCTGTTTTGCCAGATCTCTGGGAGGCTGAGGCAGGAGGATTGCCAAGTCTTGAAATCAGCCTGGGTGACTCAGTGCCTTAGCTAGACCCTGTCCCAAAATAATGGGGATGTAGTTCAGTGTGAAGGCCCTGGGTGCAATCCCCAGTACCACAAAACGACGACAACAACAAAAAGGGTAGGTTAATTTCGTTCTGATCTAGTGAAGGGAAGAATAGCTTGAGAAGATATTTTTCTCTTGAAAATAGCAGAGAACCAGATTTTTTATGGTAGTGTTTCACTTTTATTTTAAAGCTCTCTTTCTCTAGTAGATACATCTTATTTTAAATGAGCATTAAAAGTAGAAAACACAGGGGCCGGGGATTTAACTCAGTGGTTCCGACACCTGCCTGGCAAGCGCAAGGTCCTGAGTTTGATCCCTGGTATCAAAAAAAGAAAAAGTAGAAAACACAATTGGGTGTGGTGGCGCACACCTGTAATCCTAGCACTTGGGAGCCTGAGGCAGCAGGATCGCCACAAGTTGGAGGCCAGCCTGGACTACATAGTGAGTACAAGGCCAGCCTGAACTACATATTGAGACCTTGTCTCAAAAAAAAAAAAAAGCATTAAGAAAAAAAGAAAAACCATTGAAGGAAAGGTGAATGAAGTTAATTGCCATATACAAGGAAGCATCCACTGACTCATGCGCATTTCCCTCACAGACACAAGCACACAAGTCAGGTTTGGTGGTACACATCTGTAATCTCAACACTTGGGAGATTTAGGAGGATCACAAGTTCTAGAAGGCCTGAACTGCATAACAGGACCCTGTCTCAAAAAAACAAAGCAAAACACACACATACTCACACGTGCACGCACATACCCTGAACCTAACATCTAAACTTTTTTCTTTGGAAATAATTTGAATCTTTCAAAACTGGTAAAATAAAAATAATACACAAAACACTGTATACTCTTTAGGACAGTTAGAATGTTCCTTTTTAAATTTGTAAATATGGGGATTTTATAGGCTCAATGTCTAAGCCAAAGCAATCCTAAGCAAAAGGAGCAAGGTCGGAGATGTTACAATACTTGATTTCAAATTATACTACAAAGCCATTGTAACAAAATCAGCATGATACTGGCACAAAAATAGACACATAGACCAGTGGACAGAAGAAAGGATACAACAACAAACCACACAAGCACAGCTATCTGATTCTAGACAAAGGAGCCAAAAATATACTTTGGAAAAAAGCCTCTTTAATGAATGTTGCTGAGAAACTGGATATCTACTTGTAGAAGATTGAAATTAGATCCCTCTCACCATGTACAAAATCACTTCACAATGGCTCAAAGACCTATTAATAAGATCTGAGACTTTGAAACTGCTGAAAGAAAACATAGGGATCTTGAAGCCAATAGACACAGGCAAAGACTCCCTGAACAGGACTCCAGTAGAAGAAGAAATAATAGAGTCAACAAATTGGGCTACATCAAATTTAAAACTTTCTTCCTGGCAAGGGAAGCAACTAACAGTGAAGACAGCCTGCAGAGTGGCAGAAAAATCTTTGCCAGCTGACAAAGGACTAACATCTAGAATATATAACGACTTTTGTATTAATTTTTTATTAGTACATATTTGCAATGCATGTTCATTGTGGAGAGTCAGTACATGTACAGAACACTTAATTCTTGTTACTTTCCCTTCCCTGTCTTCCTCCTTCCTTTATCTCTAGATCCCTTTCCCATTTGCAAAAGATCTGTCTCCTTGATTTCTATTATCCATCCTTTATTTTGCTCTTTATTTATAGTTTGGGATTTTCATATATGAGAAATCATGTAATATTTAAGCTCATGTCTGATTTATTTCACTTAACATGTGGTCTCATGGTGTATCCATTTTCCTACAAATGATTCAGATTTACCCTTCTTTATGCCAGAGTAGTACTCTGTTGTGTAAATATTCCACATGTTCAGTATCCATTCATCTGTTCATAGAAATGTAACGCTTGTAATCCCAGTAGTACTTGAGAGGCTGAAACAAGAGGATTGCCACGGGTTCAAGGCCAACCTGAACTACGGAGCGAGACCTTGTCTCAAAAAAAAAAAAAGGAAAGAAAGAAAAGAAAAAGTCTGGATGTATGGCACTTCACTTCTGACTGTTGGCCTACCTTTTAGAAAACAAATCTAATTGCAAAATAGTATTGTGGTTAACCTTCCCTTTTTTGGGGCCAGGATTCTTTTTTTATTATTATTAATGTATTTATTAGTACATGTTTGCAGAACATGATTCCATTCACTGTCGGGAATTGGTACATGCACATGGCCAGGACTCTTCATCACCTGGTTTGTCCTGAGACCAGGCAGTCTTGGAAAAGAAGCCTCTTTCTCTTTCAGGTGTAAGTGTCCCATTTGTCCCATTTTCAGGACTGTATCTGAAGGGTGAGTCAATAGGAACCTAAGGGGAGTTACTCTTCAATCCATACATAAATTTGTGAAACAGAAGGAACTCTTAAAAGCAACAAGAAAAAAAAATTTCTCATATAGAAGAACACCCAGTAAAATTAACAACTGACTGATTAACAACTGACTTAGAGATAAGCTGCGAACCAAGAATTCTGTATCCCAGAAATGAAGGCAAAATAGACATTGCCAGATAAACAAAGACAGACTTCATTGCTTGCAAATGTGCTTTAAAAAGAATACAAGTGAAAGGAAGGCGTTAGGCATAAACTCTTAATGATACACATCTGGGACAGTAATAGAACAAAAGCAAGAGGAGTAGAAGTCTGTTGAAGTAAGAGAACAACACCGAGAAGTATTCTGAATCCACAGTAGGAAATGGAAGTGCTAGAAGTGATGGGTGGGTTGGTTAGTAGAAAAGACTTTATAAAATAACCTGTTTTTCTCATTCTTTTCCCTCTTCTTTAAAATACATAAGATTGTATAAAACAATAATTACAACATGTGTTGAATTTTCTTTTCTTTTTTTTTTTTTGGTACCGGGGATCGAACTCGGGCCCTTGCACTTGCCAGGCAGGCGGCAGAACCACTGAGCTAAATCCCTGGCCCCATATGTTGAATTTTAACTGACATGCATCATATATGACAAAAATACAAAGGTGGGAGAGGAATGGAGCTCTGTTGGAACAAGATAATAAAAAAAGCAACTTTTAAAAATACTAGAAAGAGGGTCACGGATGTAGCTCAGTGGCACCACGCCTGCCTGGCAAGCACATGGTACTGAGTTCAAGTCCTAGTACCAGAAAAAAAAAATACTAGAAAGATCAGAAAGGAATTAAAAAAGATACATAGAAAACAACAGCAAAAGGGCAGACCTAAATCCAGACACATACATAATAACATTAAATATGAACGGATTAAACACTTGGTGGTTTTTCTTCTCAATAGTTTAAATATTTCACTCCACCCTCTTATTGCATGCGTGGCTTCCGAAGGGAAGTCTGATGTAGTTCTTTGCTCTTCTGTTGGCAATGTGTGCACCTATCCCTCCCCCAGCTTCTTCAGTGTTTTTTATCTTTGATTGTCTGCAGTTTGAAGATGGAATGCCAATGTGTTCTTTGGGTGAACATTTATGCTGCTTGGTTCCCTCTTTTTTCTTTTTTCTGTCTGTTTCTCTCCCCCTTTCTTTTGACAAAGTTTTGCTACACAGCCCAGGCCTTGAACTTACTGTATAGCTGAAGCTGGTCTCAGACCAACATCATCCTGCCTCAGCCTCCTGAGTACTCAGATTACGGGCATGTGCCACATGAAAGCCCTGCTTCCATTTACTTTTATGTTACACCTTTTGAAGTTGTCCCACAATTCTTGATTATCTTCCTCCTCCTCTGCCTCCTCCATCCTCTCTTCCTCATTCTCCTCTTTTCTCTTTGTTTTTCTGTTATGGAGGCTTCTGTTGACACATCTTCAGGCTTAGAGATTCTTCCATCAGTTTCCTGTCTGCTATTGAGCCCATCAAAGACAGTCTTTATTTCTCTTACACTGTTTTTGATATCTAGCATTTCTTTTTAGTTCTTTTTAAAATTTTCCATCTCTGCTAACACTGCCTATCTGTTCTTGCATCCTGTCTGTTTTATGCACGAGAACCCTTAGCACATTAATCATAGTTATTTTAAATTCTTGGCCTGGTAATTCCTACATTTCTGCCACATCTGAGTCTGGTTCTGATATTGTCTCTTCAAATGGATTTTTGGCTTTTAGTTTGTCTTGTCATTTTTTCTTGATAGCTGGACACGATGTACTAAATGAAAGATTGTAGAAAATAGACCTTCAGTACATGGTGGCAAGGTGTGAAAAGGAGAAGTCTTGTTTAGTCCTGTGATTAGGTCCCAATCTTAGTGAGCAGTGCCCCTGGACTGTTCATTTCACAGATGCTTTGCAGTGTGTTCCTTGGGTGGGACGGGATGGTGAGAGTGGACTGGAGCTGGGTATTTTCCTTCTCCCACGTGGAAGACCAGAGTCGGTTAAGGTTGACTGTTTCTCAGGTTAAGAAGCCTCTATAAAACTACAGTAGGTTAGGCATGTAAAATTGCTCAAGGGTGGCCCTTGCTCAGAAGAACATATGCTCTGAATAGTGCAGAATGTGTGAGAAGGTTTTTCTCAGACCCTCACTGTGAGAAGTTAGTAGAGCTCCTGGAGCTGAAACCCAACAAAGTGTGGGGCCCTCTGAGTCTGTACCCCCCGGAGTTCTTTCTCTCAGACTTCCCTACAGTGAGCCTCCAGCAACTTTCCATTTATAGATCAGGTTTTCTTGCCCATTACTGGATTCTGCTGCTCCAAGAGTGTCTGTTTCAGTAAGTTGTTCATCTGTCTCCCTCCCCAGTCTTTAGGGCAGCAGTTTACCTTACAACTGCCGTTCTCTGACAGAGCTAAGAAAAGAGTTACTGGATTTTCAGTTTGTTCAGCTTTTTACTTATTAGGGTATAATGATAAAGTCAAAGTTTATATGTCAGACCAGAAACTAGGAGTCTCCCCTTTCTTTGTTTCCCCGCATGGTGGCAAGTGGATAAGAAAACCCAAGTGCTGTAGGAGGCCTTGACTGATGCCAGCAGGAGGAACCCTCATTCTAGGCCTTCTACTGACCACAGTAAAACCCAAGCAGTGATCTGTCTGGTTCTCTCACACAGTTTTGGACATGCTTGAATACCTGCCTTGGTCTTCCTAGTAAGCTTCATATGTGTAACAAGTCCTTTCATAACTTTTTAGTGCAAGTTATCTGATCCAGCTTTTGAGTGAGTGGGCTTATACTCTCTCTCTCTCTGAAGTAGTCAAAACATCCACCCTATGTGTTGAAAATCCTAATGAACAAAAAAAATCCACTGGAACTAGTAAATAAGTTCAGTGAGGTCGCTAGAAAATAATGTATACGCTATAATTGCAAAGAACAATCTGCAAATGAAATTAAGAAAATTCTTTCTCAAATAGCATCAAGGAGAATATAGTTTTTTTTTTTTGGTACTGGGATTGAACTCAGGTCATTGCACTTGTGCAGCAGGCAGCAAAACCACTGAGCTAAATCCCCAGCCCAAGGAGAATATAATTATTAAGAATATGTTCAATTAAATTATAAAACATTAAAAAACTGGGGAATGATTCCATTTTAATGGATATGAAGATTGAAAATTATTTAAAGAGCAACTCTCATCAAACTGATACAGATCAGTACCCATCACAATCTCAGCTGGCTTAAAATATTTTTTTTGTAAAAATGCACAAGCTGATTCTGTAATTTATTTAGAGAAACAAAAGACAGCCAAAATAATTTTGACAAAGAAAAAATAAATTTGGAGGATGTGAACTTCCCAATTTCAAAACTTAACTACAAAACTACAGTAAACAAGACTCTGAGGCTTTGCCCTACGATAAGTGTATAAATGAATGTGACAGAAAGGAGAGTCCAGAAATCTATTCTTATATTTATGGTAAGTTGGTTTCTGCAAAGGTGCCAAAGCAACTTTGTTTTTTTGTACCAGGGATCGAACTCGGGTCCTTGCACTTGTGAGATAGGTGGCAGAACCACTGAGCTAAATCCCTGGCCTGCCAAAGCAATTTAATTATCAAAAAGGTGTGAAAGAGTAGCCTTCTTATCAAACGGTACTGGAATATTTTCTTGCACAAGAGGTGAACTTTGACCATTACCTCCTACTGTACACAAAAATTAACTCAAAAGGATCAAAGATCTAAATGTAAGAGCTAAGACTAAAATTATGGAAAGAAAATACAGAAACAAATTTTTGTGACCTTTGGTTAAGCAAAAGTTTAAATATAACAGCTTTAAAAGGTTGGTAAGTTGGATTTCATCAAAGTGTTTAAATTTTACATTTCAAAAGAAATGCGTTATTAAGAAAATGGAACAATAAGCCAGATTGGGAGAAAATATTTGCAAATAAGGACTTGCATCCAGAATATGCAAAGAACTCTTAACAATTTAGCAACAGGAAGACTATCCAGTTAAAGATTGGCAAAAGGTTTCAAGAAACATTTCACCATAGAAGCTATTCGAGTGTCCACTAAGCAAATGAAAAGATGTTCAACATCATTCGTCATTAGGAATATTAAATTAAGCCCAGCAGGGTACCATTTGTACTCACCAGAGTAGTTGTACTAAAAAAGGCAAGCGTTGATGGAGATGCAGCGACACTCCAGCCTTCCTGCATTGTTAGTGGGAGTGTCAGTTGCTACCGTCACTTTGGAATAGAGCTTAGCAGTTCCTTAAAAAATTAAATGTAATTTGCCATGCAACGCAACAGTCTCTGCCTAAGAATCTACTCGAGAATTGAAAATATATTCACACAAAGATTTATATGTGAATTTTTGTAGCAGTATTATTCCCAACAGCCCAAATTGGAAACATCTCATGTTTTCAGCTAGTAAATGTGATGTGGTATATCTGCTCAATGAGATATTTTCAGCAATAAAAAGGAACCAAACTGATATGTGCTACCACATAAATAAATCTTAAAAACCTTGTTAAGTGAAAGAAGCCAGGCACAAGACAATAATGTATGATTCCATTTACATAAAATGTCCAGAACAGGCAAATCCTTTAGCTGGAAAGTAAATCAGTGATTGCCAAACTGGAGTTGGGAACAAACAGTAACCGCAAGTGGACACGAGGGATCCTTGTGTGAGGATGGAAATGTTCTGGAATAGAATTGTGATGATGTTTGCACACTAAATGTAATTAAATCGTCTTAATAAAAATCACTGAATTGTATATTGAGATGAACTTTGTGTTGTGTAAATTATACCTCAACAAAACCTGAAATTAGATTGACACAGGAGGGGGAAAGGCAACACTTAAAGGAATAAACAAAATTGTGTTTACAGATAATATTTTAAATGGTTGCTTGAAAAATTAATACACTAATCAGTAAAGTGTAAGTATGGAAAAGGCCTTTTTCTGTCCCAATAATTCTTTGAAAAAGAGTTATCTTTATAAGAGTAACAAGAATTAACATTACCTTAATGCCAGAAATTCCACTTCTGTGAGTTCACTCTGTACACATTTTTTTTTTTTTTTTTTACCGGGGATTGAACTCTGGTTCTTGCATTTGCGAAGCAGGCGGTGGAACCACAGAGCTAAATCCCTGGTCCTGAGTTCACTCTAAGGAAACAAATGAAATTACAAAGACTTGGGTCCAAGAGTTATCATTACACCTTTATAGCATCCATAAATAAAATATGTATATTGAGGGGCCTGGGGATTTAGCTCAGTGGTTTTGCCGCCTGCTGCGCAAGTGCAAGGACCCGAGTTTGATCCCCGGTACCAAAAAA